CTGTGGTGGCGCATCATCAATAGCATAAACTGTGGTGGCGCATCATCATTAGCATACGTCATAATTATATGCATTGACGTCACGCGGACATGTTCGGACGAAATCGGACAAAACTTGCTGACAAGGCATTTTTAGGGTCCCTCCACGTGTGTGATACAATACAGGAATTAAGATTGGCTTGTTATGCGTTGCCGCTAGGCCATCTTGAGATATGTCCGTATCTTTTGATAAATTTTAAGGGAATATAATTACTTTACAGACAATGTGATTTACTATCAATAGTGAGTGCGATGATTCACTTTTGCAAATAATGGTATTACAAGCACGTTTTCAAAATATATAGATGTTATTGAGAGAAACAGAAATATTCTGATGGCAACGTTGTTAGGTAATCCCCACGCGTAAAGCACAAAAGTTGAAGTAATTAAGGGGATCCTTGAAGAAGTCTACAGAGAGATCAATGTTACCAGGTTAATAACGTGATGTTACGAACTTTGGTCGTGATTATTGGCTACTTAACTTTCGTATGTTGACAAAATTATAGCGAAATCGAGACATATTTTAATCCCGGGTTAACATGGTTGTCAACGTCGTTGTTGTCGTCAATATTTGCATGCTGTTCAACATTATTTAGCAAACCTCCTACATACATATATACTGTGAAGATGACAGAGTCAGATCACAAGAAAGCCTATCGAGCATACTTGAAGGAAAAATCTTTTAGGACAGTTGTAATATATTTGCCATAAAAAATAAATATTTCTTATCAAAAATGCGGTCGTTATACAGGGTGTCCCAAAAAAACCGAAAACTATTGAAATCACCAATAACAATTTAATTGTTAGAATTTGAATGCCTTAGCGCTCTGTTGGTTCCCACGAGTGCAGAAATGATTGACATAAGTAAATTTTATGCGTAAAGAAACTGTTTAAGAAGCTGTTTTTAATTCACAGGAGCAGAAAATCGCGCACTTTACCAGGAGATATTCCTAACTAAATTCTAATACATGCAACTTGTCAATATTTTACGCATCATTATGTCCAGCTGTTTGGTAGGGCATTCAAATTTAACAATAAGTAATTTCAATAGTTTTCGTTTTTTTGGGGACACCCTGTATACGCTTCTATGTGTTTCCAGCCATTAGCGACGCTTGGGTGCGCGCATATATTAACGTACAACATATTTGTACACTAATCAGGCCGGCGGCTTAGACATATCGCGCGGGCGGAAAGAGCTGGCTTTGCAGGCAAAAGTTTGCACAAGATTTCAGTTTTAAAATACATTTATTTCTTTAAAACGTTTTACAAAATTTAGTACGGTCAACTACAAAAAGCATCTAGGTGTTTATGTTATTTTTAAAGATTTCTCATATTCTTGTCTATCTTCTGGGGATAACTTTGCTACTTGCTCGGTTTCATTTGAATGCATTTTGGTCTGTTGCTGAATATAAAACGTTCATAATGCTATCTCGCTTCCGGTGTCATTCGCGCTAGGTTACGTTCGGTCCAATCTGCTGGATCGACTCAATTGTAGAAAAAGTTGCGGTTGAGTTTTGGTCGTTCCTCTTCTGTTGGTGGTGGCGTCAGGAAATGCGGTTTAGGAGTTGCAGGCACTGGTGATGCTATCTCGACAGATTTATTGGGTTGTGGCATCTCTGCAGGTGCTTGTGGGATACTTTGAGCAGAGGTTTCAGGAATTCCAGGAGAAGAATGAAACATCTTATTTTTGAATATAATTTGCTTTTTTCCACGGCGCTAAGCTGTGGCGCTTCCATGATTTCTTTCATTTTCTGTTCTGCATCATACATTGCATTTACAAGCGGTGGTTGTCGATACGACTATCCTTGTATAAACTTTGCAATCTCGCCGGGGAGTATATTCGTCTTAATTCGATCTTGCTCACTTGTTGTTGACTTTAAATACAACTTCAAATACCCGTGACGTCGGCTCGTAAAATTTTGAACTTTCCCGGGATTTACTTGTCCGGCAAGCATAGAAATTTGTTACGTTGTTTATCTCTTGGTGACTTGAACAAGACGATATAATGGACATTAAGGCTGATATTTCTCATTTCTTTGCCCTGATGAAATATATTTTGGGCAATATAGATGATAGACAAATATCGGTGATGACTTCCTTTCGTAAAAAGATCAGCAATACGTTTATCCTTGCTAGATGGTGCCATGAGATCGTCCAGTATGATCAAATTCCGCTGAGATACGTCCAAGTAATCTGCGTTGTTGATATCGTTGGGAATGCCTTGATTAAACTCGATTCCAAGCATCATCCTCGTCATTTTAAAATAGGACGGTTGCCATTGACCTATAATACCAAATGATGCGTTGAGGAGCAGGGCTTATATTGGTTTGAGCATTCTCCAAGAGAGATTTCACCCATACGGTTTTGCCGCTTTGTGCACATCCCGCAACGATGCACGTAAGTGGATGCTGCATGACTGTAACTCTGTACACCGTAAGAGTTTGTTGCCAAAGATTACGAGTTCTATATGCATGGACAAACTTCTTGTGGCGAAGGAGATTACTCGCATTTGCAAATGTTTTACCGCAGATATCGCATTTATAATACATGTTTACTTCTCAAGAGTCAGAGTAAAAAGATTTAAAGCAAGGGTGAAAAGATACGTTTATCCCGTTGGTTATTGTCACGACTATGAAGGCTGTGGTAAAGACTCTTGTGATGACTAGAAAGACCATAGTCATGACTATGAAGACCATAGAAAAGAATATTAAGGCTATAGTTGTGACTATTAAGACTATGGTGAAGACTATTAAGACTATAGTCCCCACCATAGTCTTACTAGTCTTCACCATAATCTTGATAGTCATGACTATAGTCTTAATAGTCATGACTATAGTCTTAATAATCATGACTATAGTCTTAATAGTCATGAACATAGTCTTAATGGTCATGACTATAGTCTTAATGGTCATGACAATAGTCTTAACAGTCATGACTATAGTCTTCACCATAGTCTTAATAGTATAGTCTTAATAGTCATGACTATAGTCTTAATAGTCTTTCCTATAGTCTTCATAATCATGACTATGGTCTTACCAGCCTCGTCCCCAAGGCTTTCGTATGAGGACGACGTGAGAGACGAGAAAGCCCTGGTCTGGGCCGGTCAAATATAATTTGTATTCTGATTGGCTAACACCATATTGTCTAAAAATAACTGAATTTGACAAGTTGACAATAACATTTCAACATTTGTATTTTTATGATTCTTGTGTGTACGAGTATGTTTTGCAAAATAATCTTTCAAAGTAAGACGTTTTCTCGAGTAATCTTTCAAAGTAAGATGTTTTCGCCTCGGCCGGTTACAAAACTCAAAAGCCGTGTCGACGTGAGCTGTGATGTTTCCTGACAAAACAAGAATTAGAAACGTCTACTATTATTTAAGCTGTAGGTTTCCTTGTACAGTATTTATAATGTAGTCCTGATATCTGATGAAATACTACGCGTATTGCATTGTACTATATTGTAGTAATATTTTAATTTACAGTATTCTATATTGACAAATAAAAGCAAGACAAACAATTAAATGAAACTACTAAATTAATTTAGGTCCTGTTTACTTAATAGCTCTACGCCTAGGTCGATGTAGTCTTTGCAAGATTCGTCACGCTACTGAGTTTTTCAGTTTCAGAATACCTCGAATACTTGAAAATTGCGATTATACGATAAAATAAAACAAAGATTGTGAAGGGGATAAAATTTGTAGGCAAGCATTGCTCCTGAACGGAAAGTGTTGGTGTCCGGCGAAACAAGCGAATCCGTATATTTCTGTACTGTGTAAACAGGTTACGCGAGGTTTTATATTTGCGTTTTTTTATATCGAATTAAGTCAGATCTATAAGAGCATATTTAAACTAAATATTAAAGGCAATAGCCATATTGTTCAAGACGAGAGAGAGCAAATTCGTATGAATTACCACTTGCATGGAGACGCCTAGATGCAGCTTGGGTGCAGCTTTGCCTGTGGTTGAAAATCTCCAGAAATATCGGTATATATCTTAGAAAACATAGACGGGGTTTTCAGAGATTTCAACTGATTCGTGCCAAACTTCGCTACACATAAATAATATCGCTTGAGAAGTCTTTTGGCTGTTTGTTTGTTTCGAAGAGTTGTATATATTTCATTAAAGAATACCTCGCCACCCCTTGACGAGTAGCTGTCAAATACTGCCATTTTTCGGGTAGTCAAGTGACTGGCTCAGACCAGGGCTTTCTCGTCTCTCCCCTCGTCCTCATACGAAAGCCCTGGAACGAGGTTGTGGTCTTAATAGTCATGACAATAGTCTTTCCACAGTGTTGATAGTTGTGACAATAACCAACGGGATAAATATACCTTTTCACCCTTGCTTTAAATCATTTTACACTGACTCTTGAGAAGTAAACATGCCTTATGAATGCGACATCTGCGGTAAAACGTTCGCAAATGCGAGTAATCTCCATCGCCACAAGAAGATTGTCCATGCATATGGAACTCGTAATCTTAGGGAACAAACTCTTACAGTGAACGGAGTTACAGTCATGCAGCATCCTCTTACGTGCATCGTTGCGGGATATACACAAAGCAGCGAAACCGTATGGGTGAAATCTCTCTTGGAGAATGCTCAAACGACTATAAGTCCTGCTTCTCAACGTATCATTTGGTATTATGGTCAATGGCAACCGTCCTATTTTGATATGATGAGGATGATGCCTGGAATGGAGTTTAATCAAGGCATTCCCAACGATATCAACAACGCAGATTACTTGGACGTATCTCAGCTGAATTTGATCATATTGGACGATCTCGTAGCACAATCTAGCAAGTATAAACGTATTGCTGATCTTTCTACGAAAGGAAGTCATCATCGAAATTTGTCTATCATCTATATTGTCCAAAATATATTTCATCAGGGCAAAGAAATGAGAAATATCAACCTTAATGCCCATTATATCGTCTTGTTCAAGTCACCAAGAGATAAATAACAAATTTCTATGCTTGCCAGACAAGTAAATCCCAGGAAAGTACAAAATTTTACGAACCGACGTCACGGGTATTTGAAGTTGTATTTAAAGCCAACAACAAGTGAGCAAGATCGACTTAAGACGAATATACTTCCCGGCGAGATTGCAAAGTTTATACAAGGATAGTCGTATCGACAACCACCGCTTGTAAATGCAATGTATGATGCAGAACAGAAAATGAAAGAAATCATGGAAGCGCCACAGCTTAGCGCCGTGGAATTCCTAAAACCTCTGCTCAAAGTATCCCACAAGCACCTGCAGAGATGCCACAACCCAATAAATCTGTCGAGATAGCACCACCAGTGCCTGCTACTCCTAAGCCGAATTTCCAAAACTCAACCGCAACTTTTTCCACAATTGAGTCGATCCAGCAGATTGGACCGAACGTAACCTAGCGCGAATGACACCGGAAGCGAGATAGCATTATGAACGTTTTATATTCAGCGACAGACCAAAATACATTGCAATGGAACCGGGCAAGTAGCAAAGTTATCTCCAGAAGATAGACAAGAATATGAGAACTGTTTAAAATAAGAAAAACACCTAGACGTTACGCTCTTTGAAGTTGATCGTACTAAATTTTGTAAAACGTTTTGAAGAAATAAATGTATTTTAAAACTGAAATCTTGTGCAAATTTTTACCTGCAAAACCCGTTCTTTCCACCCGCGCGATTTGTCTAACCCACCCGCTTGATTAGTGCACAAATATGTTGTACGTTAATATATGCACGCACCCAAGCGTCGCTAATGGCTGACAACACATAGCAACGTATATAACGACAGCATTTTTTATAAAAACATATGTATTTATATGGCAAAATATATTACAACTGTTCTAAAAGTTTTTCCCTTCAAGAATTCTTGATAAGCTTTCTTGTGATCTGACTCGATCATCTTAACAGTATATATGTATGTAGGAGGTTTGCTAAATAATATTGAACAACCGTAATAGCTAATTAAACGACGCCTTGAAGTTTGATAAAATGCAGGGCCTTTTTTATTTATATACAAGCAAAACATTGGTAACAACAGGAATTTAGAAGGGAGGTTGTATATTCTAGGAACTGAACCTTGGTTTGTGAATCTATGTCATGTTTGAATGATTCAATGTTTTTTTAAAAATGTAAAACATTGCCTAGTAAAACTTTTCCAGCGGATTAGTATATCCTAAAGCCTATAGATTTCAGTTGTTGGGAGGCCAGGCTAAACAAGTAATTAATTAGTGCCCGTTTTGTTGTGATTACATAAACATACCATGTAAGTTCTTAACTGAAGATTCCGACGACCAACAATATAATGTAACACTGTATATCCAAAAATCTGTTTTAGAAAACGTTCGAAATACAGTTAATGGGGTGGAAAAATGGAAAACATTTGTAGAGGAGAATCCTCCCAAACCCCTAGTATTACTTACGACACCATACCGAACTTTTTGTAACCAACAACCATCTGTTATCTCTCCATACTTAGTATAGTATGGTCTTTTAGTATTGATGCCCCTCCTTCCCACTGACGAATTATAAGAAACCCTGGTAAAATAGTGTTGAGTACCAAACAACAGATTATGTTTTTGCATTTGGTATAGCATTCAATATCACGTATATAAGCATATGCCTGCGAATACATGCTCTTAGAACATCCATTTTAAAGAGTTTTTTGAGACCCATCTCATGTGCATCCTGAAGTTGTTTTTGTATTTTGGGTGCTTAACTGCTGTTCAGGCTGAGTTTCATGTTAGTATATTTTATATTGGTATTGCTTAATCATCATTATTATGCTAGAATGGACTCTAGTCTAGGACCTGTATATGAGTTTGTATGCATTTCATTTAGGACAGGTAATCTCAGCTGTTTTAGGGTAAGATGACCATAGCGGTCAACATGGCATATCTGCCAAAACCTGAATCATGGACGAAAGGCAGTGTCGACATAGCTCTAACTTCTGAAAAGGAAAAGGAAAAGCGATAGCCTTTCTGAAGTGCTTATAGTGTTTAGAAGGGTTGCTTTTAAGGGTGGTCATTGGACGGAAAATTAAATTTGTCTAAGTACAATATTTTACAAGAAAATGACCAGGTACCACACCATGCATAAAATAACTAATATGCCTGGCAAAAATTAAATTTTCTTATTTCCTAAAAAATATTATCATGAGATAAACAAACAATGTTTAATTTAACATAATTATTGTGGATTATCACCGAATCTCGCAATTATTACCCAAAATGTGGCTGAAATCGTGTTTTCGTGGGGGTAAGTGAAACAAAATGTATTATATTTTAAGAAAACAATGACAATCCTTATGAAATCCACAATAATTATGTTAAATTAAGCATTATTTTTCATCCAATGATAATATTTTTTAGGAAATAAGAAAATGTAATTCCTGCCAGGCATATTAGTTATCCCCGAGCCGACGGCGCGAAGCGCCGTGCGACGGTATTATTTCCGCCCTGCTATTTACACCCCGGGAAAGGAACGCACTAGCGAAGTCTAAAGTTCCTCAAATATCGTGAGCGCATGGCTCACCGTTCATAGGTGGTCATCCTCACTGATCTCAAAATATGTAGCGGACTGTCGTGAATAGTGAACACGGATTGGACAAATTTGAAATTTGCATTATAACGACTGCATTGACGACAGCGAAATAACAAACATTTCTTGCAAGTTGTATTTTTGCAAGATTTTGTAAATTTCAAAACCTTTCTGAGAGCAAAAAAATCCGTCTAAAAACGTCGAGTTGAGGAAAGTCGCCGACGTTGATGAAGGTAAGTTTGTTTTAAATGTTAATGTATTGTTTGTTTTATAATTGATATATTAATTTATAACTGATAGTGGTGGGCGATACTGCGAATATCCAACTGATACTATCATTGCGTATATAAGTGAGATAGGACAGCATATAATTTCAGTGTAGTTTTATTAATTACCCTCTCTTTTGTATATTAAAATATTTAAATAAAGAGGAAAGCAAAGTTATTTTCATGCGAGAATTTGAAATAAGTTTATTTCAAACTCAATTTTTACCGATAATTCGATAAAAGGTCGTTTAGTTTTAAAAACATTTTAAAACGTTTTGCGAAGTTTTTCTGGTTGAATTTTACATTAAATTGAAGCCTATATTACGCATAATAACATACCTAGCATCATATATCTGTTAGGGAAATTGATTATTTTGTTATTAAAAGTGACATTTTGGGAGATTTTTCAATTTTAAAACTATTCTTAAAATCATCGTGTTACCATGACAACTACTTTCCCAATTCTTTATATTCATAAAACATAATGTTTCGTCAGTAAGGCGAGGGTTTCTGCATGCATGTATTTTCTAGTTTTATGCATAATTTGCAATTTACCTGGTGTGGTGCATGGTCATTTTCTTGGAAAAAATTATAACTTAGACAAATTTTTCTTTCCAATGACCAGCCCTAAAAGCAACCCTTCTAAACACTATAAACACTTCAGAAAGGCTATCATTTTTCCTTCTCGGAAGTTAGAGCTATGTCGACACTGCCAATTCAGAGCGGGGTCATTTTCAAGACTTTCGTCCCGGATTCAGGTTTTGGCACATATGCCATGTTGACCGCCATGGTCATCTTACCCTAAAACAGTTGAGATTACCTGTGCTAAATGAAACGCATACAAACTCATATGCAGGTCCTAGACTACTCTACTGGTGTCCAGGATCTCGGGGAAATGGTCCTAAAAGTACCCAGATGATAGCGTGATCAACTGCCCGAGAATTTAGCAGCTCTTGTTTTATGATTGTTTTGTAAAAACTAAATGTACATTTTAATTAAAGTTTGGTTGTTTGATAAATAAATTTTCTCCAGTAGTTTAGGAATATAGTTGCCCAAATTTCAGTCTGGTGGTATTTAACACACTGAGTGGTTTTTACTGTACTTCATGTTATAAACGTATAGTGTGATTAGTATTTGTAACAGTATGGTTTCGAGTGCAATTTGGAAAAAAAACATGCTCGAGTGAGTTTTTCAAAGACTATCAAAATTGCACGAGTCCAAAGAACGGGTGTAATTTGAATTTTTTAAAAACTCACAGTGTATGTATGTTTTTCCAAATTGCACGAGAAACCATACTGTTACTTATTAATATTATAAATGAAAAAGTTATGCAGGCACGTGCGTAAGTCACATTTAATTTAGAAAATTAAGAAAATTAAGAAATTTATAAAATTAAGAAAATTTAAAAAAAATAAGAAACTTGTACTGTATTTTTTTTTGCACTGTATTTCATTTTTTGGCACTGTATTTTCAAAAAATTGGACTGCTCTTAGCCAATCGGAATTGATAAATTGTTTCATGTATATTATTAGATCATATAATCTATAAATATAATCAATTCCTTTATGTACTGTTTACAACATGAGCGGCCATGTTGTATCGGATATACAAACTCGAGTTGAAGTAAATGTCTTGAAAACCGTCATGATGAGAACATTAAATTCGTATTCTTCAACAATTTAGATTCAATGTATGACATTTGGTGAGAAAATTGAACTTATAGTTATGTAAATCAGCATGATTTTGTATCAGATTTTCAAACCGCTTCACTTTCATGATTTATTTATGTTTTCTTCATAAATTATTAATAAATTTCACAATAATTTTAGTGAATGCAGACTGCACTGATGACACAGATTGCTATGTGGTTAAGACGTCCAAAGCAAAATGGCAGGAAGCAAGATCAAGATGCCAAGCAGACGGACTCCATTTGGCAAAAATCTCTAATCCTACAGAAAATAATGCAGTAAAAACACTTCTCAAGGGAGTAACTCAAGCTTGGATTGGGTTAGAACGACAAAATAATTTCTGCATTAAAACTCCAATATCGTATCAAAATTGGGATTTTCATGAACCAAACGACAAAGGATTGGTTGAAAATTGTGTCGCAATTGGAAGTCAAGGGAAATGGAGTGATGAAGATTGTAATGCAAGTTTAGCAATAATATGTAAAAGAGGTACGGCACTGTTGTTCGTGCATTTGTCTTTACGTCTGTGCAGGGACGTTGACGCTGGAACGATGAAGTGGTAAGAAGGGGCACATTCTCGTCGCAAAACGAATGCCATTTTCATGGACATTTATCCATAGACGGATTTGGGGGGGGGGGTGCAGGGGGTGCTACCCCCAATATTAGCTATAACCCCCTCAAAACAAAATGTCCACCCCTACAAAAAAAATTTTACCCCCCCCCCCAAATATTCGGCATAATAAAAAAATAATTAAATAGTCCCTCCAACGTGCAGAGTGTTGATGATACAAAATAAACGTAGGAGTACACTCAGATAGAAAACGACAGAGCAACACTCTGAAACTAATCGCTCCTCGCTTGCATTCACTGGTTTATTGGAGCAATTGTAAAGGGTTGAAACTCTATTATCTCCCCTGAATAGAGTTTTCAGTGCCTTGTCATGCAAATATCTTGCTTGCAAGGAACGTTTGGAATTTTTACGAACATTATTTTTAGTATTTAATTCTTTTAGGAAATAGACTTGCCTATAGATTTAATCTTTACGCCCCAAATATTACTTACATCGGAGTTGCATCATAAATTGTACTTGTATTCAAACGACACACTGTCAATGACTTTATAAAAGTAAAAGCATATTGTGTATTGGCCTATTGGGTTTACACTTTTACAGGTTCATTTAACTTTAACTCTCTCAAATCTCAACAGACAATCGGAAATGCCAAATCCATTGATATGACAACTTCAAAAACTTTTTTTCGAAGCTAGAAATCATGATTTTTTCAAATTTTCCTGCGATACTTTGTTTTCTGCTCTCTAGACTCTCCCTCGCGGCTCTAGTGCTCCACCCCTAGGATATAGACCTTACTGGGGTTTTCGTGACACTTTGTGTTGCTCACGGCTCACCCCCCTAAGATTTCTGGCACCACCCCAGTAATAACCTGAGTATCAGGCCGTACTTTTTAGGGCACAGGCACGCCTGATCGTGGGCGAAAGGGAGAAAAGTACGGCCTGACACAAAAGTGGCATTTTGCCAACCTCGTACCCAGGATCTTTCTTTGGGAAAGACCCTGGCTGCGGCTGGTCACGTGCCTCATCAAAAATTTAGCGCCTGAGGGGGTGTGGGGAAAGTATCAAATTACATAAACATGCTTCCAGTGGAACATTCGTTAAAAACATAAATTTTGCGAATTATTACGTTCAAAATACTTGCTAATTTTTGTTTATTTTCTTTGCTTTGAATTTACAAGAACATTCTTACTTACAGTCAAGTCAAGAAACAAAGCAAATCGTTACTCGCAGTACGTGCTCTCTCGTGTTGTTATTCAATGCATGCTCTCTTCACAATCGAGCGCGGTTATAACAAACCTTTTAATATTGTAATGTTTTTAAAATACGCCATTACATTCGTCCTTTCTTGTAAACGTTGATACGCTTTGTACCGATTCACGTGTTACTACGCGTCTTGTTTATAAGATTTTTAAAAGAAACAGTATTGTCTAGGACTGACCCAATATTAGCAAATGTAAACATTTGATAATAGCCGAACGGAGAAATGTCTATAAGTATAGAGGAAATTTCAGTCATTGGTTTATCTGGATTTAGTACATAATTCGTTTTCGGTAATTATAGTAATACTTTAGCCTTTTTTTGTTCTCTATTAATCATTATATTGTGTTAACATACTATAAATATCTATATCACAAATTTACAGTGTCAGATGCGCACAGACCGCGTCATTGGCATCATACGAATAGACATAAATTTTCGAGTTTTCTAGCCTACTTCTACTAACATTTTTAAAGTTTTTATTGTGAATCACCTGTTTATCTCTAATTCATTAATCATTTTAGTACTTATATTTATTTGATAGTGTCATATAGTGAATAATGCGTTTACACACAAGCAATCCTGGATATGATATAGACGATGCAAGCTGTCCATTAAAAATAACGGTATTCTATTTCACAAAGTCAAAGCAAAAATTTAAATCTCACTTGTATTATTAAGAATGCATATACAGCAAAAAATTAAAGCTTATTCATGTCAAAATGAAAGCTGTTTACAAAATTTATAAAGGTGGTGAACACTACTAAAAATAGTGCTCATTGAAAGACATGTATAATA